GTAATCATTTTGACTAAAGCTCGTTTCAAACAAGGACGAAAGTTTACAAGAAAAGGAAAATTATAACACAGCAATCAAGTAGTGATGACTGTATTTGCGTTCGGAGAAGCCTAATTTTGACTTTTGGCTTTCTAGAGTTGGTTGTCCTGTGCACCGTTATATGCAGAAAAATCCACATTCCTGCAAGGACACCAAAATGGTCGCCCCGCTTGATTTTTGCAGGGGCATGTCACGGCCAGTAAACTGGTACTGTTACTAAGACATGTGACAAGACATGTGGCGAACATGTGAGCAGGCCATGTAAGCTTGTCTTTCATTGACTTCTTTCCATTCAGTCGCCGTCGGCAATGGATGCTCACAGCGTTGGATTTTGGTGAATTTAAACGCTTCGACGGTAGCATTTATCGAAATCTGTGGAAATTAGTCCTTGTTTATTTTATATGTTAACGAACACGACTTTGAATCGCCTTGGCTTTAGGATGTTAACCGTGGCAACAGCTTTATTTTGATTGCATTTGTTGATTCGTTCCAGTCGCGACAGATAGCTCATCCGGTCGAATATTGTTTTGAATGGGTGGAAAAGTACTCTAAAGTCTCTGAAGGCACGATTCATAAAAGTGAGCCTGAACCAAGGAACGGCAAATTATGTAAATACTGTATGCTTTATTCATCAGGGAAAATAATCTAACCAGTCGCACGGAGTTTGTTTACGATAAAGGAGCACGACATTGCAAATGTTTGCTTATATTTCTACTTCCAGCTTAGATCTTATTAATGTACTTAAAAAGTATACTTTTACAAATTAGCTTTTACGCTTAAACATTACCAGTTAATGAGAGAATATGTAGCACGAAATTTGAAAGCTGTAAATGTAAATATTTTAGTTCTATTAAATTTGTGAGTCTACGGAAACTGGCGCCCTCACGCAACGTATCAACAAATCGTAGTTTATACGGGGGAGCTCTTCACTAGCATGGATATTGACACTATGCATATCTGTCTGTGAAACCTCGATTGTTGATAAAAAATGTTGATTTTAGCAATAGACAGAGCTGGAAAGTCAGCTAGTGAAATCATTTAAGGAATATATATTTAAATAGTAACAGCTTCGAAAGCGGACGTCGAACGCACTCTCATAATCTTTGATTACTATTAGTTACAAGTGTATGTTCGGGCTTGCTGAGTAATACTATGAGAATCTAGATTCACGCGCACATAACTTGACTTAAACGAGAACTAGGTTATGTCCTGAACTAGGTTAGCTGAGTTATTCACTCAAGTCCAGCCTGAATAGGATGATAGATACGATTTTCCAGGAATATGCAGCAAAGAAAACCGCGAGGATTCAGTATAGATAAATGTGTTTATATTTGGCTTTGCTGGATGGTGCTATCAAATGCGGAATTCAATCGCAAAGCACTCGACACAAACGAGAACTGCGTTACCTCCTGACGTACGTTTGCTGAAGTGTTCAGCTCCGGCTTATAGAGGATGATATATATTTTTGGCAAGAATATACAAAACAAGAAACCGTAAGCACTCAACAGTGTCGTAACACAGTCTACAACTGTCACATACGATCCATCCATAGAGAACTTTACTGGATAGTAAGCTAGTAGAGAAATCAAAAACATGTACATGGAAAATGCTATTCTTTTAGCCTCGCTAAAGTTTTCTGGTACGTTCCTCACCTTAAACGAACAAAATACACAAAATGACATTTTAATCAAAATGTAGGAACATGTTAGCGAGAACAGGCTTCTTCCAACTGGCATACTG